TTCTGTGCTAGTTACATTAATTCTATAAAATAATACATTTTTCCCCAAGCATTCACACGAGTGAACCACGTCCAAAAAATTACACGGCACTTCTAATACACCCCGATTGAAGCGTTCAGAATTAATTGTTCACAGACGGTATAAATAAATAAATAAATAAATAAATAATCAAAGATGCTGTACACCAATATGATCATGCATTAAATCGCAGCTTAAAGGGCGGTGGTTGTCGCACAGCGCGTGTTCAAATTTTGTATATACATACAATGTATTTTACACGCGTTGTGTACGTCGCTATGAGTCCTATATAAAACAGGACGCGGCGCGACGACCACCGCCCCTTAATTACATTGAATGTTTTAGATCAGTTAGGTGCGTCGAAATCTACAACTGAAGTCAACTACAATGTCACCGTGACCTTCACCTACCACTACACTTCTAGCCTGTTCGTTATCCCACTAGTTGTTCGCATTTCTTTTAAGGTTCATTCAACTATACGAACACATTCCCGGGTGAATTATTGATACACTGGGGGATGTCGCACTGTCAACAACAAACATTTCATTTTATTAGTTGTCAGTGTCAGAGATAATATAATAAAAGCCACCCAAATTATGTCACGCTATAACAATGCCGACTACAATGGAGGATCGGGATCATGACTTGGGAACGTCTCGTCGTCATTCAATATCCACTCGATGCAGTGCTGTGTCACTGGGTGTGTCCGCATACTGTCTCGGTTCGTCCGATTGTTGAAAACACAGCAAGATATTGTGGCGTTATTTGAACAAGAGGAACAAATAACCAGCACGTCAAAGGATTGTTGGTAAGATGCATTACTTTAAAAACGTGTCGTACACCCGGGACGTTTGTAATCCAGAATCCGTACATTTAAAGGGCGGCAGTCGTCGTGCCGCGCCCTGTTCGATATGGGACTCATAGCTACGTATACAACGCGCGTAAGAAACATTGTTTATTTACATGCAATTCGAACACGCGCTGCGCGACGACCACCGCGCTTTAACTAATCGTCGATTTAGTTGGTAAATTCAAAAGTTGTGCGTGGGCGTATACGGTTTGCCCAGCTATCTATGAATTGCATTGGACCGGATAGTTGTTGTCACCAAATATATATGTGTAAAGTTATGTTTCATTTTGCATTATTTTTAAATATTCACAAACTAAACACACACCTCTGTAATTTTCATCAGGTATTAAACAGCGCCCAGGCATTATTCGTCAAATATTAAACGCCAATCTGAGCAACAGTCACCAACTATTGAACGCCATCCTGGGAAACCGTCGTCAACCAGTGAACGCCACTCTAGCAACAGTCACTAACTATTATGTAGCAATATACATTGAATATGTTCTGTGTTCGCTCACAACACACACGTTAGTATGGAACATTGACTGGTCTATGACGTCACTGTCTATATTATCGCCTGCCGTGAAATTTAGTCATTATGTACCATATACTCTATATATCATCATGGGTAGAGTTTACAATATTCATCATTTAATTAACAATCTCGGCTCTGTCATTGTGATATTGTCATCACAAACTAGTTTTTTTATTTTTATCTCATCAAACACGTTCAATTTTTCAATTTCATCAAATATACATCTTCTCTCGCATAAAAAGTAATACTAATATTTGAAGAATGTAATATTTCTTTCCATGTAATAACTCGAGAATCACTGACGTTGAAATGCCATCATCATTTTATTTCACTAATCGCACGTGATCTTACCGGATAAGGCAACCTGAAACCAGGACATATCCTTTTATCTCCGTTGTCACGTGACAGATTATGAGCCAATCACAACGATTGTAACAACAGTTAAATGTGATGAATAACATTAAACGACGTCACCCGGGCAATAGTATTTATCATATACCATCATCGTGGACAACAGTCAGCAAATAATGTCTCTTAACTTCATCCTTGGCGATATTCATCTAGTAATTTCGCCAACGATTGACACGGGTCGTTAAAAAAGTATTGCCCTAAGTAATATCAATCAATTAACAACACCCGGGCAATAGTCATCAAACTAACGAAACGACGATCAACCAGCCAAACTATGACATATATACATTATAATATCGTTTCATTTGCTATTACATTCAATGATACTCTCGGCGCAACAAAAGCGTTTCCTTCATGTTTATAAATATCTATAAAGATGAAATTAGCCTTTGTTACGCCAAGAGTA